TGGTGGACTAATGGGAATGTGGATGGGATTCAGTGTATATTCAATATTATATGTAATCATGGTCAAAATATTTAAAATAATAAAGCTACCAAACAACCAAAGTAAAAATTTAGAAAAATTTAGCAAACTCTTTAAAGCAATATCATTAATGATTTGTATATGTGTTATGTTTTATCAATTACAAGATATTTATAATGATTATCAAGATTTTAACGTTAAATTACAAATTGAATTAGCACAAATGTTGAGAATACCAGGCTTATCATTTGAAATAGAAATGAAATTTAAAAATTCAAAAATATTAGAAAAATATTTGTCAGTATTACAAAAAACTTACATAAAATACGATTATATTAGTAATAATGAACTAAATAATTTAGCAAGCAGAATTTTATTATCCGTAAATAATCTAAAGCCATTTCGACATTATGTTTTTGACTACAAACACAATGTACTAGCTTGCTATTTTCAATTCACCAACGGATATAAACTACCATGCTTGTTACATGAAAACATATTTGATTTTGATGACGAAGATCGCTATATATCTCTGAAACAAATATTTTTTACAAAATTTCAATAATATTCTACAATAAGTTTTATAAGCAATTAAATGGTTCTAGATTAGCAAGGATAGTTATTATCTACGGGCAAGAGGGTATAAATTTTATGGTTTACAAGCTATTGTCCACTCATACCAAAAGGTCATTACCATTACCATTGAATAGTCAAACAAATATAATGTTTACTTCCCATTCATTTACGAGATTAAAAAGACCTGGATTTCAGTGTTTAAACAAACTTCAAAATTATGATCATATATTTAGCGTTATTAAAATGGACCTGGATTATGACGATTGCATTGTATCCAAGTTTAACGAGTCATTTGGTTGTTTACCGGTGTTTGGATACGGATATTATGTATATATTAAAAAACATTTACATAGGTTTAAATATAAATTCTGTAATTATTCAGTTAATTATAAATCATCGTATTTCATAAATATTTATAACCATGCTAAACTGAAGTGTAACGAATTTGATGAAGAATTATGTCTTAAAATTGGATTTGAAATAGAGACTAGGACAATCAAATCTAACCAATCATACACACAGATTAATTTAATCCCAAAATATGATCCTCAGCCTCAAGTGGTGGAGTACTTGGCCATGGATTACAACGATTTAGTTTATAATATCGGGGGTACTATAGGCATGTGGATCGGCATATCCATGCTATCATTTCATACAATTATTAATTATTTGTATTCGCTTTTAAAAATTATTTATCGGTATACTATGTTTGGGTGAAAAGTAGGGCTGCCACCTATTGCTGAGTACAATATGATTATCATTTTGAAATTATTTGCAAAAACTTGATTGAAAATGTTTAGCTTGATTTAATTATGACAATATTAAACTTATTCTTATTATAAAAATGCATTCTTTCTATATCAAGCTTTGTATATCAAGCTAAATGTTAAGTTTATTTTATTTATACTATGTAAATTAAAATTATGAATATTCAACTGACTAAAGTACATTACTATTCAGATCAAAGTTAATTATAAGGCATGCACTTACTCTGGATGTCAGTCAAAGGGGTATAGATATCGCAATATTAATTTATATGACATTATTCTACACTATTTTGTGAGTTATTATCACTCATTAAAATCGGCGAATGGCCGGACACTTCTTCGGGAGACCATAAGATAGTCCGCATATTCTACATGTTATTCCCTATTCACTGCTTAAAACTCTGATTATCGATAAGCCAAATATGAGAATACTTAGTAATACAACTAAACTCTTACTAAATAACAATTTTCAAATGACAAATTTTTCATTTATTCATTTACAAGTCATTCAATAGGGAATAACATGTAGAATATGCGGACTATCTTATGGTCTCCCGAAGAAGTGTCCGGCCATTCGCCGAATTTAATGAGTGATAATAACTCACAAAATAGTGTAGAATAATGTGATATAAATTAGTATTGCGATATCTATACCCCTTTGACTGACATCCAGAGTTAGCATAACATTATAATATTATAACCTTTGTTAATTAAAAATAAATCACTGATAATACTCATGATTACCCTGGTTACGCTGATTATATTCATTGCATTCAATAATACTAAATAGGAGTTAAATTAAATAATATAACTAAATATATTATACGCTAAAACGTACTTGTTATATTTAAACTAGAGTGACCAACTACAAAAATGTGCATCAAATACGCGCTGGCAATGGTCATAGTGGCCGTAAATGTGTACGGCAGTGACCTGGATCAATGTGCCCTATTAATAGCCGGTGATTACGACTGCAATGATAGCCGTCTAACCATTCAGGAGATGATGGGATGTGTCGCCGATTTTGTCGACATATGCGTCGACGAACAGATCGACACCGGGTTATGCAATGTCCCCGAAAGTTATGTCAAGGAATTCATCATGGTCAATGGCAATGAGGCACAAACAAACGACTACGAACAGTTTTTAATCTGTTGCTCACAAATGTTCATGCACAATTGTTACATGGACCTGTTAAAGGTAATATATATTTATACTGTACTGTGTAAAATGTTATACACAGTGTATAAAATAGTATATACAGTGTACATTATAAATTTATAATAATTTATGATAGTAACTAATTAAAAATTATTTGTGACTACTATTGTTTTAGAAAATATGTCAATTTGGTACAGGGCAAAATTATTTTCTCGCTGTTCAAGAGACAACCAAAGAGCACATGGATCCCCATAATTGTACTAAATATAGCATTGATAATAACGATGTGGACACTTACAAATATCCATCAGTTACCATGCAACATTCTGAATTGTAATATAGCATAATTGTATGCATAGTTTGTATAGGGTTACAATAAGATTGTTATTTGTGTGCATATAATGCAATATTTGTAATTAAAATTATTATTAATGTTTCTTAAAGATTCCCATGATTATTCTTAATTGCCCCGGTACATTAATTAACTAATCCACTTTATGTAATTTCATATTAAACTTTTATTAAAATGTTCTTAATATATTTCATTATTTTGGAAATTAATAAATACTTAAGATTTTGTATTACTTGTATATAATTTTTAAAAATATTTTTTTTAATTCCCTTAAATTGAAAACAAAAATATTTTTATTTCAACAGCCGATAGTCCAGTAATAAAGTTTTCAAGCATATAATTATCATGGTTAACGTTTAATGAAAGAGTTACAGTTTTTAAATATTGTTAAGTCTATTACTATTAATACGCTGGTACAATTAATAATAATTCAAAATGAGATCTAGAAATCTAGAAAAATTGTATAAAATGTTCACATAATTAACTTGGATTAAAAATACAGTACAAAGTAAAATGGTCTTACTTGTTAGTATATTTTAATATTTTGAAAAATTATAAATAATTAATATTTTGTTTGCATATAATGAAAGATTTATAATTAGAATTATTATAAATGTTCTTAATGATATTAAAAAATGAGTATAACTTGTAAAGATAAATGTAAACAAAATAGGACTTAAGGATTGAAGTCATTACCGATGAAAACAATTCAATAGTTTTAAATCTCAATTAAGTAACGATTGATAAGAATCTGATTCACGATTCAGTCGTTCATCAGCTCTCGAGTCAATGATTTTTGTTGAGAGAGAGAGAGAGAGAGAGAGAGAGCTTTTGATCCTATTTTTGAGTGCATTCTGTTTACCCGTAAAACTGTTTCAACACTTTTAATACAAAGTCATCCTAAAGAGCACTTCACTGTTAAACACGATTTAATTTGAATCATACCAAATGTCGACCAATTATTTGCGAAATAAATAAAAAAGTTTTTCTCTGAATTCATCTTTGAGTCTCCGATTTATGTTGAAATTCACTTGAAATCCAACCAAAGATTAATTAGCAAATTCTTGTTTAAAAAAATATTTTTATATATAATATAAGTTTAATTACAATAATTGTGGTTCGGTCGTTCTGTGTCCAAAATACAATAATTATATTAACCAGACAAGTTTTATTAAATAGAAATTATTAATATATAGTTTTTTTGACAAGAATATTCTAAATAAAAACTTATCTATTGGTCAAACTATTAATAATAAAAGTCAATTAAAGTTGTTAATTATAAATATTAATGTAAAATATATTAATGTAATTTAAATTATAACGTAATTGGTTTGAAGTTTAGAGCCTATATTTAAAATATAATAATTAATTTAATCTTTTATAAATTTTAATCATGTTCCAGTTAATTTGGATTATTTTTGTAATAATTAATTTTTGTGAAGAATATATTTATTTCCAATTTAAAATAAGATCAACTAATTTAAAAACATGGATTAGTAAATTTTAAATTAAAACTTATATTATAACTATTAAATCTTGTTTAAAATAAATTTTAAAATGAATTGTTTATTTTAATCCAAACTCTTGATCATAGATAGCATCGATAGTACGGACCATTGGACTGAACGCATAGAACATTACATTCAGTGAATGCCTTATATATAGACAGCAGTTATATATTGATTGCAATTAGAGTTTTGCACAAAATATATATCTCATCACAAAATACACGTTTGTTTCTTATATCGGAAAATATAATTTATTTTATAATAAATCGAAACATTTGTAAAAAATTGAAAGCGATATTTAAGTTTTTTTGAGGAGAATATGACTTTTAGTCAGAAAATTTTGAAAATAGTTTTATTTTAGAATTTATGTCGTAATATACTGTATATACAGTATCTCTATTTAATAATTATAAACTTTAATAAATTAAAAATGTAATCATAATATTAATCATAATTTATTACGATTGAGACGTTTGTATGAGAACTACAGAATAGGTTAATATGAAAGCCATACACGATATGAATGTTTTGCTATTTATTTCAAACAAATTCATTGCCCGTAAACTCAGTCTCGACTCAAAACTCTTGATTGCATTAAATAATGTCCAATCGTTTGCAGACATATTCCCGGAATTCAAAGCACTTTCCAATTTCATAATCATATCCCGAAATCCTTTTACCATAATTTCCGGTATACAACAAAGTAATAATAAAAATGTGACACACCCTATAAGACCTAACATACTCTGAATTATATCAATGTTTATTTTTAAAATAAACAAGCACATAAATGCTCTGCATGATATTGATATAGAATAAATGGACACGAATAAATATAATGAAAAATTATCATTAAATTCATTAACTCTATTTGATATACGGTAAATGGTATCATAAATCAATTTTAAATTAACTTGCTGTTTGTTTACTATAACATTTTTAAAATCATGATATACCATACAATATTTATGCGCAATTAATGATAATAAACTTATCTGGACAATAACTACAATATAGAAAAGTAATGAATAAAAAGTCATCACGATCATATCTACAGCAGGGTATTTTATTTTCATCCTTATAATAGCACCTATCTCAAATAATGCAACTAGCATGGCCAGTCCAAACTGTATGCAAGCAATATATAAACCAATTTTACGTTCAATTATAGGGTTAACACGTGTATATTTATCAGTGGTAAGACATTTCAAAATAGCCTTTCCTTTGACCAGGGTATAAATACATACAAATATCGTTTGTGATGATATTAATATCATTCCCACATTTAACGTGAATATTAAAATAGTTGTATTCCCGGTGATATGCGCTTTGTAAACGCTATCAGCACGCAATAAGTGAATAGCCAGGTAACAGTGAATGCAAAGTATAATTAACAAGATTATATGCCATAGTGTTTGTAATACACGAACGAATTTACAAAGATTATAATTGGGATTTACCGTGGTACCTAAATATGTAATACCATGTATTTTGTGTAAGCTTATTAATAAGTTTAAGCCAGCTAATGTTTGCCTAGGCATAGTAAGTGTTACGATATTTATTTTGAATGTATTTGTGACAATGATACTTGCACACTTTTAAAAGTATATTGTGATATGTATTGTACGTGGGATTTGTTTTTATACCTAGTTGCCATTAGCAATTGAAAGTTAATAGCACCATTACTGAGTCTAATTTGATAAAATATATTATATTATATGAATACATTCATCTATTACTGAAAATAATCATCAATTTAATCAGTCTAATTTCTTAATTCACCATTATGCAATATAATAATATTATTAAAAATATTTATTATAAACACATTTTCAATTCAGTTATTATTTTATTTATAATTATATAGATTTATAACAATAAAAATATAAATTAGTAAAATATAAAATATTTTTCTAAAAATTTCAATGTATTAATTTATTTATATAATGTTTCCATTAAAAGACTTAAAATGAGAGTGCACAATTATAATTTTCTAAACCTCTATACAGTCTATTACGGAAAAGAGTCAAATAAATTGATTTATTGTTATTTACATTACAATTTTAATTGACATAGTTTAGTTGACATAATTTAGCTATTCATAAATGTCTTGACGTGTTTCGGGAATTTGCAAGATAATTCATGGATCACTAGATTTTTAAAGACAAATGTCTTAATAACCGTTAAAAATATATATTTTCGTATGGCTTTAAAAGGCAAATTTTGAATACAAACTGTAATTTTATATTTTAATTAATGTGCAACACATCAATGAAATTATTTCAATTTTATTGCCTAAATAACTGTAATTT